GGCGAGCTCGACCCCGAGCTGCCCCTCCGCGGCGCGCTGCTCCGCGACGCTCCGCGCCGCCGCCGCGGCGCGCCGATCCTCGGCCGCGCGCTCCTCCGCCGCCCTCACCTTTCGCTCCTCCGCCGCCCGCTTCGCCAGCGCGACCTTCGCCCGCTCGTCGGCCTCGGCGAGCTCGACCTCGAGCTGCCCCTCCGCGGCGCGGAGCTCCGCGACCCGCCGCGCCGCCGCGGCGGCGCGCCGGTCCTCGGCCGCGAGATGCTCCGCCGCCCTCACCTTTCGCTCCTCCGCCGCCCGCTTCGCCAGCGCGACCTTCGCCCGCTCGTCGGCCTCGGCGAGCTCGACGGCGAGCTGCCCCTCCGCGAGGCGCAGCTCCGCGACCCGCCGCTTCTCGGCCGCGCGCCGCTCCTCGGCCGCGCGCTCCGCCGCGCGCCGGTCGGCGTCGACGCGCCGCGCCTCGGCGACGGCGCGCCGCGCCTCCGCGGCCTCCCGCTGCGCGATCGCGGCGGCGCGCCGCGGGTCCTCGGGCCACTGGGCGAACGTCTGCCGGGCCGCGACGCGCGCGTCCGCGAGGCGCCGCTCCGCCTGCTCCTCCGCCGCCTTGGCCAGCGCCGCGCCCTCGCCGTCGTCCGCGCGGGCCTCGACGACGGCCGCGTCCTCGGGCAGCGGCTCCTTGTCCGCCGGGTCCATGTCGCGGACGCGCTCGTAGAAGCGGTACGCGAAGTTGGCGAAATCCTTCACGATCACGAAGCACACCAAAATGTAGCGCACGCCGGACGTGATGGGGTGGCCGCCGTGGAGCATGCCGCTCGCGTGGCTGAGCACGTGGCCCCGGTCGCTGCGGATGCCCTCGTCCAGGCGCGCGACGTAGGTGCCGCCGCCCTCGTAGTCGTCGGCGGAGTTCAGGGCGATGTTGAAGGACACGACGGAGCCGTCGCGGTGCGGCTTGAGGAACGACTGGCCCGCCGTCGCGTTGTACTTGACGACGAAGGCGTCGACGACGCGCAGGCTCTTGGGCGACGGGATGCAGTAGGCGTAGGACTGGGCCAGGAACGGGTAGAGCGTCTCCGGCAGCGCCCGCTCCCGGAACCACTCGAGCGCTCTCGGCAGCTCCTGCAGCGGCACGTCCGTCGTCGGGTAGTTGGCGTGCCGCGCCGTCGTCCAGCCGCCCATCGTCGCCGCGCGCGCCTCGCACTCGTCGACGACCGCGCGCGTCTCCGCCTCGGTGAAGAGCGGCTCCTCGCTGTGGTTCACGAGGAAGCCGTCGCCGTCGGCCACGATGCCGACGGACGGCACGGCGCTCGCCGGCAGCGTCGCGACGCCCGTCCTGCTCTCGTAGAGCTTCATCGTCTGCCGGTAGGCCGGGATCTGGCGCTCGCTGATCATGCTCGGAGCGCGCGGCGCGCGGCGCCGGGCGACCGGGAGCGGCCGTCGCGGCGCCAAGCCGCGGCATTCATTGAGCAGCGCGACGAGGAGCAGGCTCGAGCGCGCCATGGTGCTCGACCGGCTCACGAAGATTAAGCCGCGCGCATACGATCGACGTGTGTGCAAAGGCCAGTCAAAAAAATGATAGGCAACAGCATGACGGAAACTCGCCCCGGCTGAATTCTAGTTAGTTAGTCGTTCAACATGAAGATTTTGTTGAACTTCAATAGTCAAGTTGAAGCTACAAATCCCTGGAACTGGAAGAAACCAGTACAGAGTGCTGCTTGGCGCCCGCCAGTCGCTGCCGCAATGACACCGAAGCGCCACTGGCGCCGCCTCGTCCGGAAATCGGCCATTGTGGCCGATTTTGAGAAAAAAATTCTCCGGTAACCGTCAAAATTCGTACTGCGCGCGCGGCCGCACGCGTCCGTAGGCGTACTAGGACGCCCAAAAAAAACCTCGCCCCGCCCCCAAATCTAGTCTAGTTAGTCGACATGCTGTCTATCCTAGTTAAAATGACCGGCCTCTGGTGTGTGCAACATTTCGGCTTCACCGACCCGGTGAACCCCGGCCGGGGCCGGGGCGAGATGGACACCTCTGCCATCTAGAGGCCGACCAATCCTCGACGCCTCCGCTCTGCGCCGCGCTGGGCGCGGCGTCGCGCTCCACGGCGCCATGTCGAGCGACGAGATGCAGTCGCGCGAGCTCTGCGCGTCGCCGCGCCCCGCGTTTACCCGAGGAACCGCCCCCAGACCGCCCATCGCACGTAGGCAACGCGCTCATGCGCCTCGTGAACGTGTCCACGCGGACGTACCGCTGGCGGCGCTACGACGACGTCTTCAGCTCCGGCGAGGCCGTCGCCGCGCTGAGCCGCGGCGCGGGCGGCGCGCCGGGCCTGCTGCCGGACGCGGCGGCGGCCGAGGTCGCGCTGCAGGCGATGATGGACTACGGCTTCATCAGCCGCGTGTCGAAGAAGAACGACGAGCTCCTGGGCCTCAACGAGGCCCACGCGACGGTCTTCAAGGTGTCGGACCACACCTACTACCGCTTCAAGCTCCGGGAGCTGTCGACGTGGCGGCTCCGCGTCGAGGTGCTCGAGGTCCGGTGCTCCACGGGCGACCTCGCGGACTCGGGCATGGTGACCATGAAGGCCGCGGGCGTGTCCCACGACGTGGCCATCAAGCAGAGCGCGCGGCGGCGGTCCGGGTCCGGCGCCGCGGACGCGACGCCGCCGCGACCGGGCGACGACGGCGACGACGGCGACGGCGAGGGCCGGTCCTACGCGCCCGTGTCGTCGAGCGGCGACGCCTTCGTCTGCGGGCTCAACGAGGAGGAGCTCGAGCTGCACGTGGCCTGCGCCTTCGCGCGGGGCAGCCGCCGCGCGGCCTGCCGCGCGGCGGCGACGGTGCGGCTCGCCGTGTCGCGCGGCGTCGAGAAGGCGCCGCCGCGCGCGCGGCCCCTCTGGGTCCACGCGCTGCGCGCCCCCGTCGCCGTGCCCGTCTACGCCACGGGCCTCACGCTCAGGGCCGGCGTCTTCGTCGCGACGAGCCTCTGGCGGGGCGCGCCGGGCCTCGCGTCGCCCGCGGACGAGCCGCGCGAGCCGCGCGACGACGAGCCGCGGCGGCAGGACTCGAAGACGTCCAAGGTGCTGAGCAAGGTCACGCGGGCCGTGACGTCGCTGGCGAACCCGCAGGCGCGGCGCCGGTCCTTCCAGGACCTCTACCACTCCGCGATGTCTCCGGGCCGCGGC